GCCACTGAAACATACAAGAAGTGTGGAAGAGGGCGATCAAAAACTCTTTTAATCAGAAAAATTCCAAACAATGGCTTCTCTCGCGACTTCCATTAACGGAAGCTTCAAAATTTCGGTTTCATCATCTTCGACAAGAACTGGGTCTCCTGTAAAATCCAATCAAAACCCGAGTTTTGTCTTCTTTACTAATAACATACACAGACCGATCTCTAGAACGGCGATTTTGCGCAGATCGGAGATCAGTGCTTCGAATCAAGAAGAAACAGCTTCGCCTTTCGCATCCATGGTATCACCAGGTCTATACTCAGCTCAGACTTTCGATTTGACCCCTCAAAATGTCGATTTGGTTCTCGAAGATGTTAGGCCCTTCTTGATCTCCGACGGTGGTAACGTAGACGTTGTCTCCGTTGAAGATGGTGTAGTTTCGTTAAAACTCCAAGGTTAGTTTTCTTTTTGATTTCATTTTCGGAGTTAGGGTTGCTAATTTCGTTTGACAAGCTGGAAACTTTTTGATTAGAGTTGGAATCAATCACTGAATCAGAGTTGATCTTCAACATTTAGGTTTTTTATTTCTCTATAGAATTCTGTGATTAAAGCATGATGCAGGAAAACTTTGTGTAACATTTGGCCTATTGCTATATATAGTCTTTGATTGTGCTCGCTTATGATTGAAATGAGATCTTAGTTGTATTCAGTGAGTTCGTATGTATTCGTTTAGGGTCTAATTCAGAGCATAGATATCGATATTACGGGGCGAATATGGCGTCTTTAAGTACAGCTCTGTTCAACAACGGAGTGTATTTGTGTCCAACATGACTCGAGCGATATCCTTTTTTGCATTTTTTCGGATTCTTGGTTTGATGGGTTCTGTGTAGAGTTTGCTGCTCATGTGTATAATGATCAAGCCTGTGTTTATCTCTCTCTTTTTTGGTAGTTTACGGTTTATCAGTCTCTCAGTCTTTACAACGGCGATCAGGCAAAAGTGGTGCTCGAATTTAGCAGCTTTTCATGTGTGTTATGTAGTAACAGTAGTGATGGTCAATTATGAAAACAATTAGAATCCTTTACATTGAAAAATGTTTGTTTCATAGTTTGGGTTTATAGCTCTAGCATTTTGATGTTCACATTTTATGTGATTGAGCTTATGTTGAATTGTGTTGTTATGTTATAGGAGCATGTACTAGCTGTCCAAGTTCTTCYACAACAATGACAATGGGAATAGAAAGGGTACTCAAAGAGAAGTTTGGAGATGCTTTGAAAGATATTCAACAAGTTTTTGACGAGGAAGTAAAGCAGATTACTGTGGAGGTGCGCAAGGCTCTGTTTAAGGAATTCACGTATTACTCACTCGTTGATGTCTTCTTCTGACTGGTTTTATTGTTTGCAGGCAGTGAATGCTCATCTTGATATACTGAGACCAGCGATCAAGAACTATGGCGGAAGTGTGGAAGTTTTATCAGTCGAAGGTGAAGACTGCGTTGTGAAATACGTTGGACCAGAATCGATTGGAATGGGAATACGAGCAGCGATTAAAGAAAAGTTCAAGGACATATCTAATGTAACCTTTACAAGCTAGAAACTATCTATGTAAAAACACTTATTGCTCTTTGTTTTGAGCTAATTTCTTTTTGTAATGTCCACATCAGTAGTAGTCTCCATAACTGTCTTGAGCCATCTTGCTAAGTTGATCAAGAACGGTGTGTAGACAAAGTAGCAAGTTGTTGTCCAAGTAACCAATCCCTTCACCAATAAAC